ATAAGGTCAAAGGTCACGAGTACAATGAAGAAACCCTATAAACACTGACCTTGTACGCCTTTATAATACAAACCTAGGCTTAATACATATATGAAGTGATATAAACACAATATTATAAGTAACTCTAGGGAAATTTATAAGGAAAGCTGTCGGGTTATGTTCAGCTATTCGTCATCAGAAAGGTTTAAATATTAGTTGAGACAGAGGAAAGGTGGTGAGGGAGGAAGGTGGTACGATACTGTATATGTCAAGGATTAGCTGGTTGAAATCTGTAACAAATCGAACCCCCCCCCACACACACACACACATACAGTATTATAATTTCCTACTAACAGTTGTTTATGAGGTTTTCCCAAGGTGTTGTGTGACGTGGGCATGGAGGTGGACTTGGGTGATAATGGTGTTAATATGATGACACAAATAAGACCTGGAATACTAAAATGACGTTAACATTACCCTCAGCACGTGTTGTCTTTTCCCCAGTTATAGGAAGAAAACTAAGGCGTGTTTATCTAGTATCCGGGTTAAGTTGTGGCCTTACCTACATACCCGCCTGGTGATGTATCTGGCCACAACCGTAACAACCATAACCATGTCGTCTTGTCTTACTTGGAGATTAGTCTGACTGACACACTATATGAAGCATAACAACATAAGAGCGACAGTGAGTCCCACGGCCTGGATACATCACACTGTACACTAAGTCATTTTTTCAGTACACTAAGAGTCTCTGTGGCTGATACTACTCAACCGTCTGTAATGTTTTATACTCAATCACAGCTGGGTGACCTGGGATGACCTGTGTGCGATCCTGTGACCCTCAAGACGAAGAGGTGAACGCTGCAACTAATAACGGCTGGGGACCTGTACGGGGAGGTCATAGGGCTAATAATGCAGTCCATATGTAAATCGCCTCTCTTAATGGTGTGGTGACTGGTAGTGTGAGTAAGCTCTACCCTGCCAGTCTCTAACACTCTGCTGAAGGTGTGTCAGGGAAGCGCTATGAAGACGGTGTTTTAGGAGCATTAGTATTGTTCCTCAGGGGCAGTGGCGCTGGTCTCTCGCACACCTCTCACTAACACCAGGTGAGGTTATATATGGTGTGTAGAACCCCTAGACTCTCGGCCCTTAGGGGTGTGTGTGTGTGTGTGTGTGTGTGTGTGTGTGTGTGTGTGCGCGCAGGAAAGCCACAATGACCAGGTCCAAACGTCACTCTTCACAGTCCATAACTTACACTGACCATCACAACCATTGCACACCTGAAGTCAGTATACCTGTAAACATGTTAGCTCAAGTAGTGACACCTGAGACGCCATGATAAATACAAATAAACATTACAAAACATTCTGTAATAAACAAATCCTTACATAAAAACTCAGAGACAGTTGCACCGAGTATGTGTCACCGTGTTAATGCGAAGCTAATATTTTACCTCATTCTAAGAACTCGATACAGGAGTTGGGCAATTCAAGGTTGTGTCCACTGTAGGGTGAGTCACCGCCACCACCAGTGATAACCGGCAGTGTATCATACCTTACCACCGACCTACACTGTACAGTATATTACCGTGACACTGACACTCACTAGCCCTACTAAACCTTCCCTCACTTGTGACGATGGCTAGTAATATAGGCCTTTGATTTACGATAAATATGACTCACGTTTAAAAAAAAGTTACCCACATGACAGTTGAAAAATGTGTGGCTGCCACCTGCTCCGTCACTGTGGGAGAGTCAGTAGGGAGAGTCAGCAGGGAGAGTCAGCAGGGAGAGTCAGCAGGGAGAGTCGGTTGGGAAAGTCAGCAGGGAGAGTCGGTTGGGAGAGTCAGCAGGGAGAGTAGGTAGGTAGAACGAGCAGGGAGAGTCAGTAAGGAGAGTCAGTATTGAGAGTCAGCAGGGAGGAACTCTACCCTTAATCACGAGGCAAAGGATCAACTTTTCCATGATGTAACCAATGGTCCAAGTGACATAAAAACACAATTTATTCATTCATAACTAAACTCTCTCTCTCTCTCTCTCTCTCTCTCTCTCTCTCTCTCTCTCTCTCTCTCTCTCTCTCTCTCTCTCTCTCAACATTTCCCGCTTCCTCATCTCATCCTGCCCCTCCCCCCCCTTGTGTACTGCCCCCCATCCAGCACCTCCTCCTCCCCATCCAATCCTCCCAGGTGTTTCTCCCCATCTATTCCTCCCTCCTCCTCTCCCCATTTACTCCCCCTCTTCCTCTCCCCATCTACTCCTCCCTCCTCTCATCCTCCTCGTGTACCTCTCTCACTGTACTGTCCCACTTAAATACGTCTATCACTGTACCTCCACCCCCTCCCTCCCTCCCTCCAAGTACCGTGATGACTGACCACCTCCAAGAAAGTACTACGCGTCAACCAGTACACAATCCTCGAGTGACGTTAATGGTGAGTTAAGTATAGCCGGAGACTAGGAGACAGTGATGGTATGGTGACATCCATGGTGACAGGTATAGTATAGTGTCACCATCAGCTTCCTTGCGTGTGTGTGTGTGTGTGTGTGTGTGTGTGTGTGTGTGTGTGTGTGTGTGTGTCACCGCTCCTGTGGTCGACTACGTTTCACTACAGCTTCCACTCTCCATCACTCCATTCCACTTTCCATCACTCCATTACACCCTCCATCATCCTATCATATTCTCCCTCATCCCATCATACTCACCCTCACTCCACGCTTTCCCTCATTCCACATTCTCCCTTAAACCTCCAATCTCCCTCACCTCATACTCTCCCTCATCACTCCGACAAGTCTTAAAGCAAACAGCATCTTCAGAGACTCTCCCCCCCCCTACCGCCTGACCCCGATGACAGTGACCACCAGTAGCCACACCTGAGGGCGGGAGGCAGCGCAGGGGACACATGATACACCACACGATATTCTAGGCACACGACAACACGACACTCTTACACAACACACTCCTGCCAAATGTCATCATCACTCATTACCACACAAACTCACTAATTTGTACTCACTATACCACAGACACTCATTTGTACTCACTACACCACAGACACTCACTTGTACTCATTGCACCACACACTTGTACTCACTGCACCACCTTCACCCCGGGTTCTCCAAAATAATGAACTAATGATCAAATATATTCCCGGCACTGCACTTGATTCCCTTCACTTCCCTAACTGTAAAATTAGACACCTATTCAGACTTGGAGTGCCCCGGGTTCGAACCAATGACCTTTAGGGCAGGAAACGAGAGTTGCATCTATTTGACGGCCATAACCATGCCCTGGGTTACTGGGGGTAATTTTTAGTGTAGTGGGCATATTTAAGGGCATGAAGAGCAAGATTATATCCAGAAAACAATGCCTTATGGTCACACATGTTACTGTACATACATACATACACACGACCATTACAACTACCTATTTCCTCTACTCAAGAAAGAAAGGTAATGGTATAAAATCATATAATTATTACACAGAAACATGTAAATACAGCAACCAAGAAACCATAATGAAAATACAACTTGTAAACTGTCAAGAAAACACAATTATCCATTTATTATTATCATCTTTTGGGTCACCTGAAGATTAGGCACCTCAGCTAATTCCACCTGAAGATTAACACCCTAACGCTACCTGGGTGGGTTGGGTTGGGTTAGGTTAGGGGGGGGAGGGAGGGAGGTGTGTGAGGGAGGGAGGTGTATAAGAAAAGAAAGTTTCAACTATTTTTTACACGAAGTTCCACCCAGGCGAACGACATGCACTAATTACAAGCCTCACCTGCGCCTGGCGGTAATATTCACCTGACCTAACCTCACCCAACTCGCGCCACAACAACACACCCGGGAAGGTTCCTCCCTCGAGTGCATCCTGTCATTACTTCAGGTACATTGTCCTCTTCTGTTTGTTACCTAAGTGCCAGCGATGGAGAGTGAACCCCCAGAGAGAGGTTCTTTGTGTGTGTGTGTGTATGTGTAAGGACGACAGATACACCCAGACCAGACTGTGATGGGTGGAGGAGACATGGTGCCCCCCCCCCCCTCACATCACAGGCACCTACACAGTATTTACATCACTCCCAAATATCTTGAAGACAGGCCTAGTGATTAATTACAAAGATACTCTCGGAAAAAAAAGTAACGTGAATTTTCAGAGAAATTTACATTTTCCTAACAAACAGACGTCGGGGAGCAAAGCGATGTTCACCGTCTGGCAGCAATTCAAAGCGTAGATGTACACGACACCGAGAAGCGACTGTGTATAGTTAAGAACAACAATATCTTTAAAAAAATAAACGGATGGAGCTTTGACTTTTGACCGTAAGCAACAACTGTGACCTTAAGAGAGACGTGACTCTAGAGTTCTGTAGTTCGTCTTGTGATACACTGTTTAGTAAAGTCTCGGCAAAACAAGTGAACTAAGGGAATTACGCTCTAGGCAAAGCTTTCAACTTAAACCTTCCTGTAATCTGTTAATACTGACTCAGATTTGGTTCGCTTCATTACCTCACAAAATCGATGAAGACGTTCCTCAGATTCCCCTCCCAATTATGATCCTAAATGAATGATCTCGTTTATTAGAGCGCGAACTGTTGCTCTCGTCAAGACCTCACATCACCCAGTACCCACACCTGTCAACACACCTTCAGCCCAGTGTTGTACTGTAGACGGCTGGGTGTCTTAATTGCTTACCTGCCTCCCATAGTATTCAGGCACCTGCACCTAACTACCTTTACTACCTACAGAGCTGCCTATTATCTATGAATCCTTGAAAAAGCAACCGACGATGTGTACCAGACTCATCAGAAATACAACACAGCAGTAGTTCAGGCCAGTAACAGTCCGCGGACCTCTGCCCACCACCTCCACTACCTTCTGAGTACTAGTGCCAAGTTTAGGTTAGGTTAGGTTAGGTTAGTTTAGGTTAGGTTAGGTTAGGTTAGGTTAGGTTGCGCTCTTACAGTAACATAAAAAGAAGGAGTTTGTTGTTAAACACGACATACACAAGAGGTTAGTAAGTACCTTGGTATGGAGTACCTTTGGTGTAAAATATAGCAGTCTCCCGCAAGGGTCGTTCGGTCCGCAGGAGGCCTTGCCGCAGGTCCCGCAGGATCTGTAAAAAAAATATAGGAAAATTAGATAAAGATGATCACGAAGGGAACACATAAAAATAAATAAATAAATAAATAAATATATATATATATATATATATATATATATATATATATATATATATATATATATATATATATATATATATATATATATATATAGCTAAATTAACTACTGTTTGGTAAATAATAATATAATACGAAAGAAACTTAAGAATGTATAAGACACAACCAGGACCAGACTCTCAAAGATTAATACGGTGAATCTTCCTGGCTGGTGAAGGAAGTTTGTAATTAACTGGTAGGCTTCAGCCAACACAAACACAACTTTCAAAAGTACTGCACCATTAACAACAACAAGAGACTCTACCTCAGCTTGATACACTCACAGTTTTGACGTAAAGAATCTTACCAAAGATTCTGTCTGAAATTTAATTTAGTGTTCTAACTGGTCTTGATCACTACCGTCTAACACACTACTAACCTCCCGACACCTGCTCCTGCTCGACTGACACAAACAGATGAATGAGTCACATACTTATGGTTTACGCGAGTCTTTACATACGACACGACATGTCCATTTTCCAGCATGAACTAATTGTACCAACTTCCTTTAAACACAATACCATTTATGAGAAATGAACAACTCATTCCTGCAAAACGTGATACTGACATAGGAATGGAATGATTTACCCGAGTGTAAGAGCGTGTGATGAGCCTGAAATATTGTCACACGCAGGCTGCAGGTGTGTTGGCAGGTGTGTAAATTAATTGCATTTGGGCGACAGGTTCATGAATGGACCCATATAGCTCTACGAGTCTACTGTATTAGGGACACACACACACACACACACACACACACACACACACACACACACACACTAAATGGGAACACTGGGAAGTTAATTGTCTTAGCACAGAATTCGTGTCATGTGTTTCCAGAGTCGTAGCCTACTAATAGCCACACGAAATAGGGTAAATAGGGCTGTCGACTAGTATCTATGTTCTCATTATCTCCACTTGCTAACTCACTCGTGCATACAGGGAATCCGACGACAAAACAAGGTCATATTACACAGCCTTTGATAAAGTGTTAAGATCATAGACCGGTCTAGTGGGCGCTGTCATAGAGAACGGGCGTTAAAAGAAAATGAAGTGATATCCAGGGGTAACTAAATCAAATATTATTCCATAACTATTCTGGATGGGGGAGTCATTTATGTTTAAATCTTCATTCGTTTGACAATAATCAGCTATATTTGGTGGGTTACTACAACTAGTACACACACCCAGGGCTCTATAACTACACACAGCATGATCCCTGTAATACGTGTCTAGACCTCTATTCGGTCAAGATTTAGGGACACCTGTGACCTGACCTTGCCTGGGACCTGACCTGAATTGGATTGAAACAGTTTATTTAGCTAGAAAAACACAGATACAGAGTGGATAATAATAACAATATTAACATGGCTGAGCCCGTTGAGCACCTGAGCTCTCCTGTAGGCACCTGACCAAACTGTTCAGGTAAACTATAACGTGTCTTGAACTAGTTGAAGCTGTGACTTCTGGTGATTCCGTTATGTGATCTCATCCCAAACACGCTTCTTCATGATATCTTTCTTGCATCATCTACAACGTGTCCATGATCCATCCCTCCGAGTGAGCCGTTGACGGGATCTTGAGCTTTCTCGGGCGGTCATCAGTTTCTTCAGCTGAGGTAACAATTTAGTTACGATTCTCTGAACACTCTGGACTGTGTGGATGTCTCTCATATTGTGGGTCGCCATGATACGAGGTTCTTATACTTCCACCATAAGTTCTGTATGTTTAAGTGACTAAACAGCCGTCGATCGGACTTAAGGGTTCGTCTTGTTTAATTTATTGTTTTATGATATACAAGTGATAATTTACCCTACCGCGTAAGGGTGACTTAATGACACAGTAAACTATTATACTCGTGCAGTGATGGAGTGAGTTCGACTGATCCACAATCTGTAAATCTCACCACCAAAATTCACTGAAAAGACTTTATAAACCTACAGGCAGTGTTTCTGTAAGGCCTCGCTTTGTATACTGACCATAAATATTTACTTCCACAAATAAACAATAATACAAAAATTAACCAAAAACTTAATTAAAAAAAATGCTCAGTTAACAGATTTAACATAGTAACTTTGTAGTACTCGGCGAGACGCACTTGAAGATTCATGACTGGATGACACAGTACACCATACGTTAGGTCACACAGACGAACAGCACGTTGAGACAGACAGGACCATGGACGGAAAAGGACAATAACACTACATGCCCCCTTTGTACTTTCATGGTGGGCATAAAAGAAGTGATAACATGATGCAAACTTTATTATAATAGAGTCTGGATGTTCAGGGACTTACAATCATTAAAAAAAGGCAGGTAAATAGGCAAGACAAACAGTCGAACTGGGCAACAAACAACCGAAAAGATAATAATCTGTCCACAAATATTATAACACTATTAGTAATATAAATAATAGTTAGCCAATCAATTTGTTGCAAAAAAAAAGCTCAGAGAAGACGTCAGAAAAATAAAATCCATTTACAGCCTCACTTGGCACATTCTCCTGGTGAGTGTCTCCCAAAAGATACTTCAGGGACTTCAAGTTTCCACAGAGGAATGTCAACATCAACGAAAATTGTGATTGCTGACCGGAAGCTGTAGTATATGAAGAGAGAAGGAGTGTACGGTACTCTGTTGAGAAGCAAAGTACTTCTCGTAGTTCACTGATTTTTCTCACACTTTGCAAAATAGCACTGCTCCATCTTTAGCCAACATTTTGCTACCAAACGTTTTAACTATTTTGCTGCCATAAGTTTTGGAGAAGCACTCACTATAGGCATTGTAAATGAAATGTGTCCAGCAGTGTTTGAATGAGAACTGACTCAAATAATACGGTCCAGGCCCCGGAGGACGGAGCTCCATGCCGGGATATATTCATATTGTACTCGTCCCACACACACACATCCAGTACCCGGCAGAACGGCGCCTTAAGAAATATTCGATTTGGTATTATTTTACTTTAGGACATAGCGCGTCCCAAAGTTATAAACTACTGAAACATTTAGATCTCCCTATTCTGAGCATTTTGAACCCCATTTATACCTGGCGGAAATGGATAATAGCGACACAATTAAATTTAGTTGATTTTACGAAGTTTTCAGTCTTCGTCTGTGAGATGTTCTCGGCGGATCACGCATGAGCAATATTGACTGACGTCATCCAGTCGTGACCAATGATGTATCGATATCATCACGCGAATTTTTTTCGACCAATCACATTTGATTTTTTCCTGGGTACGATTTTAATTTCATTGACCTGTCTCACAATGGCCATGGTTGAAGTTGGTTGTCATTTGTGCTCCTACGATTATTTTAAGGTTATTGCCGAGTTTTACGAGAAAGGCGATCATTCTATCCAAATCTTACGTATCCCTGGTCCTCCCACTTCTAACTAAGGTATTGTACTTTCGGACATGGCGCGCCCCAAAGTTGTGAACTACTGAAACATTTGTGTTAGTTTAAGCTAGGCCTACCGGGGGTCCTGTTAGGGGTTAGGTTACGTTAGACGACTCGTTTTCGTTCTCTCCCCTACCCAAAAACCCCGATTTCCCAGGGTCTCCCCCATTATTGTGGGGGGAGGGGGGGGGGGGCAAAAAGAGCAGTTTCTGCCAAAAATGAAGGTCAGATTTGTTTAAAACACACCGAAATACACTGGAAAAACATATTGGTCAACCCCTGGTGACTCATGCCCAAAGTAAAAATTTACTTTCGACTTTGACATAAAGTAATCTGCTTCGTATAAAGTAGCAGGATATATTATTTTATTTTAGGACAGCTAAATAGTAATTCAAAAACACTTAGGAGTTTTTCTTATTGAAGATTGATATAAAATAACATTAAAATACAATAAGCATAATGGATATATTAAAACAACAGGTAATTTTATACTGAAATTGCAGGAAAAGGTATTTAAGGCATTTTGCTTGAACACCCGGGCTCTAGTTATAAACAACAGTGCCTCATTAACTTACGTCTTTTATGTACCTGATGTGCTTCACGGGCCCCCACAGTGGTAAGTGTTTAACAGAGGGGCTTACTTTGTCAACAGGACCTGTAAACGACGCAGACCGCAGCGGTGTGTCCTCTACGACCACAACCTCTTCAGATATAAGACCTAGACCATTACACCAGAGTGTGGGGTCTTCATCAGCCCCCCGGATGTGTGTGGTGTGGTTGACATGGCCAGGTGCAGCAAGGGGGTCGGGGCGTCTCTCTGCCGCTAGATCTACCAGCAACTCACACCTCACACCCTCGGCGGCGTCGTCGTCGTCGTCATGCTGTTGGCCGCGGGTGACCTCGTCTAAGCGACAATAGGGCACCCGCACCCGTCCACCCTGGTTCCCCCACACTCTCATCACCTCGCTCTCCTCGCTGGGAGACAGTCACAGTTTCAAGAGAACAACTCCAATTAAAAGGCAACATACACTCGTCAGTATCAGGTATTTATACTGTACATGTAACCAACCTTCTTCAAACAAAGATCATATTATTAGCGGTGGTAATCGCAGCCAAATTTAACGCCAAACTAGTTATCAAGGTATTTTCAAGTCACTTTTCATTACAAACGAGTTCTTGCAATAACACAGCCGCACTAGTGCACTACACTCCTGACATGTTAAATGCGCATTGTTTAACATCCACACGAGACGCCACTGTCCACCCTCAACGCCACAGCCTGATACAGTCCTTTATATCATCTACCACAAGGTGAGACAAAAGTTTGCGTGGTGCCGTTAGGAGGAGCTGCGGCAGTATGGGGAATGAGGACAGCGGGAGTGGTGAGCAGGGCACCAGTACCCTTGGTGCAACTGGCGCCGCTGATAACCTGAACCCAACACAAAACACGCAACTTGTCCTCAACTAATATTTACATCATATACGTTCCTCAGTGATAATATTTA